GGAAAGAAAAAGGGTAGAAAAACAAAAGGGGAAAACCCAGGAAATAGACATTTCAAACTGTAGCCATGGAAACTAGAGCTAAGAAAACCAGCTAATTATTTCAAAAACTTCATCTTTCCAAAGGGAAGTTACCCAAATGCCTGAACAGAAGTGGCAAAAAGAATATACTGGCGTAAAAAAAAAAAAAAGAAAAAAAAAAACATCTAAACTTAAGCCAAGTACTACCTCCTTCTAGAATTACTTCTAAACTTATTGTCCCAGTTTTCTCCATCAGTAAAATGGGGAGAATGCCACCCACCTTTTCCCTAATCTCAGGCAACTAAGATTATACATGTTCCTTAGAAGATGAATGTCGTAGAAACTGAGGGGATTTTTTATTGGCCAGAATTCAACCTATCCTTCCCTATATCAAATTTAAAAAATAATAATGGAAATGCTGGGCCCTTGACGATAAAATAGCAAAAGATAGTCGTCACTTCCTGACTCAGTCTTTCCCAATTCCAGAGCATCTGGGGCATGAGACATCTTGCCAAACATATGGCGTTCCAAATGTAATTGTGCTAAATATTTAGTATTCAACAATGGTTTACTGTAAACGGAGTTGTAGGCAAACCACCAGCCCCAAGGCAAAGGTAACTTTCACTTCAGCTTCTCTTGTTCACTTGATTTTTCTCATTTAATTAGCTTTCTATCCAAATAATTCATCAGCTTCACTTGTCATTAAGAAAAATGCAGAAGCTGGTGAAAAAAAAATGTTGATCAATTAATATCTGCATAAAATGTCCATACCAGCATGTCTCTGTTTGTGTCTTTGAGTCCATTCTTTTTAATTATCCAAGGCCCATTTTCTTCCTTCTCTCTCCAAAGATCTTAATAGTAGTGCCTCTTGCCTTTAAAAGATGTTCTTATAAACATTTCTGAGTTTTAGAGATGCTAATCATGACTGTGTTTCCTCATGTCTCACCTAGACCTAGCCAATGCATAATTGTAAGCATCATAATAACAACTAAGAGTGAAAATAACACATACCATGTACCCAAGGTATACCACGTGCTAAGCATTGATATACCTTATCTTTCATTCTCATATCAACTCTACAGGTAAGTATTGTTACCTGCTTTATCCATTAGGACAAAGACTCAGAGGGCTGCATAGCTTGGTCAAGATCACACGGCTTACTAATCAGGACAAATGGGATTTTTAAGTCATATCTTTCTGAGTCCAAAGGCCTTGCAGTTGTGTGTAGTAACTACCCTGCAACCCAAGTGAAAGCTACATTCACATTGTATTCTCAAAATCAAAAGGCTATGACAGCTGTAGGATGCAGAGAAAAAAGGGAAGCATTCAGGAACACTGCCAAGCAATTTAGTAGCTACATCAGATAAGGCAGTTTTGTTTTGAGGGTGGCGCCCATTCTTTCCTTTACTACCCAAATCTGGGTAGTAAAGGAAACATTACATTAAATACACACGTGTACCTATGCAACTATCTTGCATGTTCTTCACATGTACCCCAAAACCTAAAATGCAATAAAAAAAAGTAGTATTAAAAATATATTATGTTAAATAGACTAAAAATATAAAGAACAAGAAACAACCTGAACACTTCTCTTTTATAACTTTATTTTAAAATTTTAATAATTTTAAACATATGAAAAAAGTTACAAAAATGGTAAAGTATAACCTTCAGTCATCTTCCCCTAATGTTAGCATCCTGTGCAATCACAGTACAATTATCAAAATAAGAAGCCAATATTAGCACGATAGCATTAATTAAACTACAGACTTTCTGTGGAGTTCACCCAGTTTTCCCACTACTATACTTGCCTATGTTTCAGGATCCCACATTTCCTTGAGCTGATGTGTCTCTCCAGTCTCTCACTGTGAATCCAGTTTGTCCTTCTCTTTCATGATCTCCACACTTTTGAAGGTCACTTATCTTGGAGAATGTCCCTCGCATTGAATTTGCCTGATGTTTTCTTAATATTTGATTGAGGTAATGTATTATTGGGAAGAACACCACAGAGATGATATACACTTCTCAGTGCATGGTATCAGGATGTACTTGATGTTAATATGTCTTCTTACTGGTGATGATAATCTTGGTCTCTTGATTAAAGTGGTATCTGCCATGTTTCTCCACTATAGAGTTATTATTTTTCCCTTTGTAATTAAAAAATGCCTTGGGAAGGAGGGGATACTTTGAGACTATGCAAATTTCCTCTTTCTCCTTAAACTTTTACACACTAATTTTAGCTCTTGCCTGTAATAATTATTGCATACGGTGATTTTATATTTCCCTCATCTGTCTACATTTATTAATTAAAATTCTGTGTGGAAGAGCTGACCCAAGTCTTCCCTTTAACTTTGATTCCATTAATTATTTATAACAGTATGGACTCACAGATATTTATTTTATTCTATGGGTTATAATCCAATACTATTGTTATTTTGTTACACCAATTGTTCCTTAATGTCTTGCCTTATGTAAGCCACTGTTCCTCTCTGGCCCTTCCTTAAAGGCTTTTCAGCAAGACGAGACTACAGTGAGTAAAATTCATGGCACATGATAGATGTTCAACTAAATAGTAGCTAGAATTACTTCTGCAGGTTGGCTATTCATCATTTAGAATTGAATTTTGCACAAAATAACCTGTTTGCAGTGGTGATTACAGGACTTATATAGTCCAGAGTTTATTTGGTCCACAGGGACTTTGATCTAGAATCCTAAACTCAAACACTCACTCTACCACTTACTAACTGTGAAACCTGGGACAAGTAACAGCTTCTTTGAGCTTCTTTCCCTCTCCTACAAGTGTAATATCTTCATAAGCTATTAAAAATTTTGGCTATGAATGTTTTTATGTTATGGTCCCCAGACCAAAGCTGGCTTGGCTGCATCAAAATTAGAATAGGAATAGGCTAAATACATGTTCCTGGCCCTAGCCCCATGGGTTCTGATTTAGGAGGTCTGGAACAGGGTCCACACTATACATTTTAAGCAAACAACTAAGGTATTTTCTCATGGGGCCAGATCTGGGAACCAATGTTACTCAGTAAACACCACATGCACCCCTTCCTCCCTGACATCATGTCAGCCCTACATGCCCACCACTGTCCTGCCACCTTCCTCTCAACTCGGGTGAATTCCTGGACCATCCAAAAGTTACTGCAAGTACTACAGGAAACCAAAATCCTTCTGAGCTGTAATACTTCATTGCATCCCTTCATAGAAACTTGGGTTCTTAGGAATCTAAGAGCAAACTAAGATTCACTATGTTTCAGATGCAAATCTAATCTATTTCTTAAATACCCTCTTCTTTACAGAGACACACTCCGTGAGCCTTTCCTCATGGTACTGGGTCAGTAAATACTAAACTAAGAGCCAGATGAGGTGCCAGGGAGAAAAGAAGAGACAGGAAGAAGATCAGGAACATTGAGGAGGAGGAGAGCAAATTAAAGGTGGCAGAAGGGTCCTATCCTCACTTCCAGGCCACCCCCGGGTGACCCCTTCACACCTTGCCCTGCAGAGACCCGAGTGTGTACTGAGCCTCCAAGCCCATGGCTGAAACCTCTGAACCCATGACTGGGACCCACCCCAGGAGCTAGGGTGGAGATTCCCAGGGGTCTTTGGATCTGAAGAGCACACATCATGTGGTTCTGGCATATGCTACACTGAACACATCTTGGCTGCTATACCAGTCAAAAGGTGAGACTCTCCTGCTCACTCTTACCCACCAACAGATACCAGAAAGGGTAGGTATCTCCAGGAGCAAGTATAAAACAGGGGCTTTCACATTTAGTGGTACCCAAGGAGCAGCTTCTTAAGTGACTTAAACGCTTCCTCTCTCTAAACTTTGTTCAAAAAAACAGAGGTGAAATTCACATAACAAAATTAACTACTTTAAAGTGTATATTTCAGTGGCAACCACCATCAGTATGAAGTTTCAAACATGTTCATCCCCCCAAAAGAAAACCCTATATCCATTAAGCAATCACTTCTCAATAATTCTCCCAACCAATAGTTTTTTTTTTTTTTTTTTTGAGACAGGATCTTGCTCTGTAACACACACTGGAGTGTAGTGGCCCCATCACAGATCACTGCAACCTTTACCTCCTGGGCTGAAGCTATTCTGCACCACCTCAGTCTCCCAAGTAGCTGTGACTATAGGCACATGCCACCATGCCCAGCTAATTTTTTTATTTTTTGTAAAGGTGGAGTTTTGCCATGTTGCCTGGGCTAGTCTTGAACTACTGGGCTCAAGTGGTCCATTCATCTAGGTCTCTGAAAGTGCTGGGATTACAGATGTGAGCCACTGAGCCCAGCCTCAATAGCTTTTCATTTGTTTTTGTTTTGTTTTGTTTTGTTTTTTTGAGATGGAGTCACACTCTGTTGCCAGGCTGGAGTGCAGTGGCACAATTCCAGCTCACTGCAACTTCTGCCTCCTGAGTTCAAGCGATTCTCCTGCCTGAGCTTCCCACGTAGCTGTGACTACAGGCACGCACCACCATATCCAGCTAATTTTTGTATTTTTTAGTAGAGATGGGGTTTCACCATGTTGGCCAGGATGGTCTTGATCTCTTGACCTTGTGATCCACCCACCTCAACCTCCTAAAGTGCTGGGATTACAGGCATGAGCCACCATGCCCAGCCCTCAATAGCTTTTTATAGAGAGGGGGATTGATTTTTTCCATAGTGAAATTTTATGTAGCCATTGTTTGAAGGACTTTGGGAAACTCTGGGTTCAAAGGGCACAGGGACATTTTCTCTTCTAAGCAGGTGGGAACAGCCTTCTAGAAAGGTCTAGGGTAACTTTTCCCTTCTCCTGCTCCACCCACTCCAGTGAGGACAGTGCCAGCCTTTTCCACTCACACAGGGTTTCGTGTGGCCAACAATCTGTGAGAACAAGGGCATCACTACGGCTTTGAGAGGAACCCCTACAGTGCCCCACAATCTGGGTCACTCCCTAAAAATGGCTCCAGACAGAAATCAGCTCTTACCCTTTGCTTCTCTGGGTCCACATAGCGAATGCCAAAGTAGTCCTTCTCCAGCAGGCTGTAGTAGTTGCAGATGTGGTCAATGAGAAACTGTCCTTTGGTTTCCCTCTGCAAAAGAAGCACATTTAAGTCTCAGCCAGAGCTCACCTTGTGCATTCATATCCACAGGGAGCCTTGTTCCCCACCATGGGACCATCCTCCGAAAAATAAATTTGCTCACTCTAGTACCTGAAGAAGGGGCTTCCAAACTCTTTTAACCACAAGTCTTCAATGAGAAATACATTTTACATCGTGAGCCATTACACACGCGCGCGCGCGCGCGCATACACACACACACACACACACACACACAGAACTAAAAAGACCCCAAAAGAGGAGCCAAAAGTAATACATGCCATTTAATTTGTTTAATGCTATTTATGACTCAGAGTACTAATTTTACAACCCAATAATTTGTGGAGGTCCACAGTTTGGAAACTCTCATGTAACACATACTGTTTGTTCTAATTGCTTGACACATATTCATTCATTCAGTTCTCACAAAAATCCTACCAGGAAGGTTCTCATTTTATATCTGAGGAAACTGAACCACAAAAGGGTTTGGTGACTTGCTCAGTCACACAACTTGAATGGAACAGGGCAGGATTTGAGTCAGGCCCACTGGCTGCAGTACGTGGGCTCCTTCCAAGCCACTTTGACTCCCTGGAGCATCCACAAGTCCACTGCGGCTCTGCCAGGAAACAGGGCCTGGTGAGTTTGGCAATGGTGTGAGTGGTATTTAAATTCCCTGGCTCTCAGCAGGAATGGTGGGGAAACTGCTTCCTTGGGCCTCAGAGCCACTGTAGTCTTTCCATAAACCAACACAGAAAGGCAGAGTGGGAGATTCAGGGGAACCCAGGACTAAGATCCAAAGACAGGCCTGTGTGACCTTAGATGTTTCTACTTTGGTAAAATAAGATGGTTGGACTAGATAATTTCTAAGTTGGTTATGTTATTTTTCCTTCTCAAATTCTGCTAGTGAAAGATGTATCAGCCAAATCTGATTAAGATAAATACCACTACAACAAAAACCTCTTTATAGTAAAGACCCCTCTAAGCCCTCATCCGGGTGTCTGATAAGATTAATTTCTGCTTCAATCAAAGTTGCTGACAGACCCATGAAACGTTTTAGGATGTGACCTACTGAAATAAATGAAGAAATTAGAGGCATTAAGTGAGCCACTTTTTCAATCCACTAAAAATAATTTTGAAAGATCAGTTTGGTCTGTGTTACATAATGATCTTTCTATTAAAAACCTCTACCATCAACTCAGGAAGTTGGCTAGGAAAGCCACACCCTCCAGCAAAATCTCCAATGACTACTCAAGACCCTGAGAGAAGAAAATGTGGCTGCTGATGATGCAGTGTGTTAAGGCAACGCCAGTGTGGCTGGAACAGGGGTCACTGCCCCCCACAAAGCCTGGGAAGCGCTGCACTAGGTGAAGGACTGGGGCTTATAAGCGCAGAGCGTGATATGAAACCTCTATTTTCCCGAAATCACTTTCAAGTTGGATTTTGAGTGAGCTTCAAGTTTTTAACATCCTTCCTGAGAAAATGTCTGATGTAGCTCAAAAGAAACAAAACATAAAAATGGAATTTGTTTTTAAATTTCTGCAATTGTTTTTTAATCCAGGAGGCTCAAATGACAATGCTATACCCCACAGCTGACTTCAATGCCCAGAAAATAATCAATGGCTTTAGTTCCTTTTACACATACACTCTGTAATCCATTCCTCTTTAAAAGGTTGCCACGTTATCCACTCACCAAACGTAACATATGAGCTCATTGTTTTATGACTGAATGGCAAAGCTCTCTTCATTAGGATTTACTATAGGGAAGTATTCCCTACCGTATTCAAGATATGTGGGTCAAGGCAGTGCACTGTAATAATATGGGATTGAGCAGGCCTTGATTGTTCAGGACAGATCCTGCTGTGTTTTTGCCCTGAAGAAGATGTACTCAACAGCACAACAAAGATTTTTTTAAATGATTAAATACAGCAACCAATATACAGCCTTCAGCAAAATCTCCATTGACTATTCACAGCCCTTGAGAGAAAAAAAATGCCACTGCAGACATCGCAGTGATTAGAGTATGCAAGAGTGGCTGAAACAGGGGTCAACGCTTCCCAAAAAGCAGGTTAGGCCAGTTCCCATAATTCCAGGCCACCAGGTGGGTCCTAGGTCTTTCTATTCAAGGTACAGCCAGTGGACCAACACTATCACAGAGCAGCAGCCTCAGTCTCACCCAGCAAGGAGCCTGTGGGAAACAGAATCTCAGGCACTGCTCCAGCCCTGCTGCATGGGGTCTGCATTTTGGCAAGATCCCCAGGTTATGCACATGCAGTTTGAAGTTTGAGAAGCATTGGTCCAGGAAGATTCCCCAACATAGGAAAAGCACAAAATGTTACCTGTCTCCAGAGACCACCACAAAGAAAAAGAAAATATGCCCCTTCTACCTTGCGAATTATCTCTTCCTTGACTCAGAAAAATCAGCCCTTTCCTGCCTCAGGCACGCAAGCTGCCCCTGCCTTTGTCAGGGGCCATCAACAGCCCTTTGCAGTTCTGCTCCTGCCTCTGCATGTTCCCCAGCCAGCCTCTCCACCCTGAGACCCTCCATGTCTCACTGCTTGGTGCCAAGGAAGCCAGCTTACAGCCCACATTCTCCTGCCTGAAAATCCGGACAAAGTTTGTAAGCCATTTTTAAAGTTCCTATTGTCATATTTGTGTACTAAGCTCAGTTCTTGCACTAAACAAAAGTATGCATAGGCCCAGTACCAAAGGCTGAAAAAGACTGTTCAGGGATCAGGCGCATGAGGGGCAGAAGTCCAGCTACTGCCCATATGCCTCACTTCAGGAGAGAGGCAGGGAGTGAACAGTGGTTATGACCCGAACCTTCCACACGCTTCCTCCTGAGTCTCCCAAAGATAGAGGTTCCTTCCCTGTGGCCTAAACCAGTGCCTGGCATGCTGGATGTTACCAGATGAATAAGAAGGCATTACTTTCTTCTCATAGAAAACCTGAGGTCAAGGAACAAAAGGAACCACTTCCCACAAGCCCTTTGGACTGTATAGCTCTCTCTCTAAGAGAGAGCCCCAGGCGAGACAATAGTGTCCTGGTATTGGCGATTCTGCAAATGTAGTGGAATTGGCCAACTTTCATGCATCTCTCTCAAGATCTGTGTGCAAAAGTGGTTATCAAAGATTGCAAGTAAAAGGATTTCTTTTTAATGTCAGACTTTTGTTGATTCTCCCACAGGATAGCAGCTATACTTGCAGTACTGATTGAGTAGAGGAAAAAAATCAAGCAGCTAATTTAAATTCTTCAGAGTCGTTACTTAAATTATGTTTTATTAATCACAACACCATTTAATACATGCGAAAAGTAGTAAGATATAAATGCGTGAGCAGAGTCTAATACAGAGGTCAGTAGCATTTGATAATCTGTGCTTAAAACTCTTGTGTGCATAAGTACAGACTTTTGATGCTGGTCTCTAAATGAGGTTGTGTGGTCTCAGAAATGCACTGACAGGGCTGAAAGATTTGTTTAACTACACAACTAAACCTGTGTCTCAATAGTATATTACACTGTGAATTGATTCATTTTATAAATACTGTACTAAAATAATGTGAAGACAATTGCAATACTTTTAATGCATTAAAATCTATAAGCCAGTGTTAGCCACAGTGTGGTCCATGGACTGTGCCAGAACATGAACAGTGCGTGACTGATCCTCCAAGACAGCAGCCCCCATCCTTTTTGGAACCAGGGACCAGTTTCAGGGAAGACAATTTTTTCAAAGACAGGGTGGGGTATGGTTTCAGGATGATTCAGGTGCATTACGTTTACTATGCACTTTATTTCTATTATTATCACGTTGTAATATATAAGGAAATAATTATACAGTTCACCATAATGTAGACTCAGTGGGAGCCCTGAGCTTGTTTTCCTGCAACTAACTGGGGGTAATGGAAGATAGTGACAAACTATCAGGCATTAGATTCTCATAAGGAGGATGCAGCCTAGATCCCTCACCTGCACAGTTCACGATAGGTTTGCACTCCCATGAGAATCTAATGCCACCGCTGATCTGACAGGAGGTGGAGCTCAGGTGGTACTTCGAGTGATGGGGAGAAGCTAGAAATACAGACGAAGCATCTTGCTTGCCTGCAGCTCACCGGTGCATCTCAGTTCCGTGGCCCAGGAGGGTTGGGGTCCCCTACTCCAGAAAACAACTGCAAAAATTAAGAGTAATTTAATTCTACTGTGTTTCTTACAAATCTTGGTCCAAAGCAGACTGGAGGAATGAAAATCTAATACTGGTGTCTCCCCACAGAGAGTTAGAGACTCTCTGATACAAACTGTGCCACCAGGCTTGGGAGATTCTGTTCGGGATTTCTTTAGTCCACAAGCCTCAAAGTGTGAAGGGGGTTACGTCCTCTCTCCCACCTTCTCTGCCCATTTTTCAGACAATTTTAGTATGTATGGATCCCTGAACCCCTGGCAATAATCCCGTCTTCCCTCAAAGTCTTCTCCCACTGGGTGGAAAGTGCTAGTCTCCTGGGTATGGAAGGATACTTGGCTTACCTCTGGGCATCTCAAAAGGCAAATTCTCTCACTGGGCTAAAGACTCATTGATGTGGCAAACTAGGATCCATTTCAAAAGAATTTGTGTAAAATAACTACATGTCTGATTAGGGAGGGCTGGGTAAGTATGGGTTAACCCTTTCGAGACAGTGAAAAGATCATTTAGTTGCTCTGAATCTCTATTTCCTCATCTGTAAACTCTAAATAATGCCATCTTTAATGGGTAACCTGAGTATTACAGACAATGTTTATAAAATATCTTGTTGGACACATAGTAGTTGCTCAATAAATGACAGCTATATACTACTGTTGTTTGTAATATGATTATTTCTTTTCTTCTGATGCCCATGGTACCTTCTGTTCGAAGGATGCTGAATGGACCAGGGTCGGTAGTAAGTCCCACCAAACACAGATGACTGGAGAGCTTATCATTCTCTCACAGAATGGGTTGGATTTACTTCCTAACACCCTATGAAGCCTAA